AAAAAAAAAAATTAACTTAATTAAAATAATATTTTAGGATAGCATGACATTTATAACACACTTTATTAGTTTTTTGTAACAAAACAATTTTTATAGTACTTTCTCAGATATCATCTCATCTTAGTCTACATCAACACTATGAGGAAATAGAACTAATACTTTTTGATCCCTTTATTACAGAAGAGGAAGCTGAAGCTCAGAAATGTTGAGTGTCTTGTTAGAGCACACAGCTAGTGTGAAACAGGAACAAACTCAGAATCTCTACCTCCAGATCATATTTCTCTAATACTTCTGTGTAAATGATGGTTAAATCCATAATTTAGGACTATGTCCCACTAGGGCTCCTTACCTGTATTTCTCACTGTCCGCTGTACATTTCTACCTGAAATTCCTGGTAGTTCCCAATTAAAAAACAGTCTACAACCAAACTCAACATCAAGACTAGATTCTCCCCACCATCTCTGCATTTAAATTAAAGGCATCATCATTTTCTCAAGTACCCAGTCTCAGACTCTTAGTCACGATTAACCTTTTCTCCTTTAGCTCATACAAAAAGTGGGCCCATCCCATAGATGAGAACATAGTCTCATGCTTCTCCAGGCTAGGTTTCTCTGTCTTTCTGTCTAAACTGCTATGATGGAAGTTTAGTATCTAGTCCATCCCTGTTCAAATCCATTTGGCTCATTGCATGCAGACAGCTTCATTGTTTTGTCACTCTTTAGACTGAAAAATCTTCTTTCCTTGAATTAAATATTAATTCCTCAGTTTGAGATTTGGCCCTAATCTACCACACTAGCTTTTTTGTGTGTGTGTGTCTATTCCACACGTAGTCTGTTTTCTTTCTTCTTTTTCCTAAGACAAGATCTCACTCTCCTGCCCGGGGTCTCACTCTCTTGCCCACTCTAGTGGCTGAGAGCTAAGTGCATTCTCCAACTCCAGGGCTCAAGCAATCCTCCTTGCCTCAGCCTCTTAAAGTGCTGGGATTATAGGCATGGCCTGTTCATAGCTTGTGTTTTCTGAAGTTACTCCACACTTTCCCACCAACAAGGCTTTGTTCATTTTGTCCATATACCTTGGACCCATCTCATTTGTCACCCTTTTTCCAATCTTCTTGATTATACAGGGTGGCCATAAAGTTATTTGCCACCTTGTATGTGATCTCTCCTTCCACCAAGCTCTTTGTACTACTCTGAGGGCTTCTTGTCTTTTGTATTAAAGCTTGACAATTGCTTAACTTTATCCACAGTACTGTAAACTTAAGTTTCATGAGATCACCTAATTTACCTTAATAATTATATCTTGATCATCATGCACTAAGTACTTGTAGCCCATGTTATCTTCATTTTATAAATGAAGAAATGAAGTATCATATAAAGTTATACAGCTTGTTATAGAGGATTAAACATCATACTTACTACAACAGTCACCAATATCATAACTCATCTGAGGAATTACTGAGAACAAGACATTCTCCTGGCAAGCCTGGAAATCTCCTGTGACTTGGAAGGCAACCCACCAAGTAACTCAGTAACCTTGGAGCAAAGTTCCATCCTGTAGTAGTAAGGCTACTGTTAAACATTAAGCATTTTATGACAGTTCCTTAAAAGATTAGTGAAGAATTTTCCTATAAGGGTACGTGTGAATCTTTCTAAATGCCGAATATAAATGTCTTAACACAACAATTTTGAGAATGACATGATAGCTATGTTGGCCAGTTGCATGAAAGTATTTCAAATTGTATATGGAAACAACACATTGTATCCCATGATAGAATTAATGTGCACAAATATGATCTAATAAAAAAATTAAAAAAAAAGATTAGTGAAGAAAATTGTATTTAGTATTTAATTTTTTTTATTAAATGATAGCTGTATACATTAATGCAAACATGGGGTACAGTGTAGTATTTTCACATACAATTTGACATATTTTCATCAAACTGGTTAACATAGACTTTGTGTCATTTACTTAGTTATTGTGTTAAAACATTTCCTTGCCACCCTTGAAGATCATTTAATTGAGTACATACTCTGTTTTGCACCTATGAGATCATTTCCCTGAGCACGCAGCCCCTGCATGTCTTTGCTTAGTAATCTTTCTGCCTGTTATGTTTCTTCTCAATAAAAGGACTCTGCGAGAAGTGCTCAGTGTTATCCTGCACCTATGGTTAGCTTCACCTCTTGCAGCGTGTACTTGTGTACTCAATCCGTGTCTTGTGTGATCACTTATGTGGTTCAGACAGCTTGTCACATGAGTAGCCATGATTTCAACCTAACTAGCCTTAAGTCCATGCTTTTATTTTTATTTTTTTGTTGTGGTAAGACATTTATACTATAATTCTTAATAGTTTTGAAATGTACCATTACATTGGGTACAATAAGTGAGGTCCCACCAAATACACTCCCGCCTCCCACCCAAGTCCATACTTTTATAACCCACTATCCTCTTTTTCTCACTGTGCTTGTAAGATTTATTTGAAAAAATTCATCTTGGCTCAGCACCTGTGGCTCAAGTGGCTATGGCGCCAGCCACATAAACCTAAGGTGGTAGGTTCAAATCCAGCCTGGGCCCGCCAAAACAACAATGATGGCTGCAACCAAAAAATAGCCGGGTGTTGTGGCAGGCGTATATAGTACCAGCTACTTGGGAGGCCGAGGCAGGAGACTCGCTTGAGCCCAGGAGTTGGAGGTTGCTGTGAGCTGTGATACCACAGCACTGTACCCAGGGAGATAGCCTGAAGCTCTGTCTCAAAAAAAAAAAAAGAAAAGAAAAAATTCATCTTTAAAAACTTTCCATAGTTCCTTAATAGTTAATTTAATTATGGAAATTTAAATATAAAATTGACAGTAGATGGGTACCATAATAGCTTTGGCAGAGATATCTGTTAACCAAGATTTACATAGCACTGAATTCATCACTTCTGTCTCCAGGGCCAGTATTATTCAGGATCATTGGTCTAAAGCAATGGGCCATATTTGCTAATCAAGGATGGCCGACCTGGAACTGATACTATTCTATGATTACATCTATGTTTAACTTAAACTTACCTTCTACCTACAAGTGTTTGGAACTGGATTGGACCTTGATATGGCTCTGCTAGGCTTCACTCTGACCTCTCAAATCCTAGCCTGTGGGCCTACAACAGTCCTTGGAGCAATTTGAGGGCTTAAGTGGACTTATGCAGGTTTACCTCTTAGTCTGGAGAAATTGTAGGAGTTTGTGTATGATTTTTCTTTCTCTTTTTCTTTGGTGATCGTCTCCTTTCTTATTATTTATTTGATTTTAATTTTTGTTTTGACATTGCTAAGAAGAATCTGTCCTGCTAAGCAAGAAGTTTTCTCTTTGTTTTTATTTTTGAGATAGGGTCTTGCTTTGTCACATGAGCCAGAGGAGGAGTGCAAGTTTTGGGCTGAGTTTGCTGTAGCCTTAAACTCCTGGGCTCAAGTGATACTCCAGCCTTAGCCTTTTGAGTAGCTGGGACTGTATACAAGTGCATGTCATTGCACCCAGCTAATTTTTAAGGTTCTGTAGAGATAAAGTCATGTTGCCCAAACTGGTGTTGAGAGCCTTAAGCAATCCTCCTGCCTCAGCCTCCCACAGTTCTGGGGTTACAGGTGTGAGCCACAGCACCCATGGAGTTTTCTTTTTTTAGTTTCATATGAAGTCTAGAGATTGCATGGAAATTTAAAATCATAATAATTCATAAACTGTGAACATTTTAATGTGCAGAATTATCAATCTCTTCAACAAGCCCGTAAATTCTCCCAGACTAAAAAATTCTAGTTTTATTCAAATATGTGCATTTAAGACATATACAGATATTTTTGTCTAACTTTGTTCTAGTGAAAGATTGAATTTACATTTAGAATTCTTTTGGTGCCCAAGCACCATGATTCACTTATTTAGTATATCAATAAATAGGTCTCTTTTTCTGAGTTAAGGGGAGAAATATACTTCTGGAGGTTTGTTGTTACTACTCTTCAGTCTAGAGACCATCTATATTGTTCTTTACCCACATAAGCCTGGCCACTGTAGGTGAGGGCTAGCAGTTTCTGTATTTGATTTTCAGGTTTGTAGCCGAGAGAGAAGAGATGTGTGGTTCTGTTTTTCCAGGTAGTGTTGCATGATGGCAGCTTGCTTCCATGTTGAATTAGCGGGGCTCATTAGCAAGGGCTGGGCAGGAACACTCGGGGGAACTAACTCCAGCCACGGGCTCCCCACAGACAGATGTTTTGTGCTATTCTTGGAGCCTCTGCATTCAGATCTGTCCTAAGTCGAGAGCATTTTTGACTAGAAGAATTACTCAAATATGATTAATATCTAGGGGCCATCCATGTGTTCCTAGCCTTCCCTTGTTCCTTTCTATGGCGTTTATTGATTCTTCTGTGCTAGGTCCTGAGAATACCAAGATGGATAAGAAATATTCAGAAATAGTGGAGGATAGGGCAAAGTGGAAAATGAGACCAGAGGAGTAGAGATGTTGTTTCAACATGAAAAAGGGACTGGAGGAGCCGGGAAATGTGACTCTTAGCACTATGGGAATTAACAAAGAATCCCAAAGATAACATACTTATACTTTCTGTATTTCAGTTAGCAACATGTTGTGAAATGTTCCTGTTTTGAGGATATTAATAGACATAGGACTGATGGTTTAAGGTACCTCCCAATCTTATGATTCAGCACAATGTGATACACTCCTATGTCAGATTAGGAAATTTATTTACATAAAATCTTTTTTTTTTTTTTTTTTTTTGTTTTTTGAGACGGAGCCTCAAGCTATCCCCCTGGGTAGAGTGCCATGGCATCACAGCTCACAGCAACCTCCAACTCCTGGGCTCAAGCGAGTCTCCTGCCTCAGCCTCCCAAGTAGCTGGGACTACAGGCGCCCGCCACAACGCCTGGCCATTTTTTGGTTGCAGCCATCATTGTTGTTTGGCGGGCCCAGGCTGGGGATTCGAACCCGCCACCTTAGGTGTATGTGGCTGGCGCCTTAGCCACTTGAGCCACAGGTGCCGAGCCTACATAAAATCTTAAAAGAAATTTTATCAGAGTTGAAAATATTAGCATGGTTAATTTTTTTCTTTTGAAAGGACATTATAGAAAGCAGAAATGTGTGCTAGTATTAAAATTGTATTTAACCCTCTTTTCCCTTCTTTATAGGAAGAGAGTTCTTCTTGTGAGTCAAGCAAAGAGAAGAGGAGAGTGAAAAAAAAGATGTCTTCTAGGGGAATGTTTGTGAGAAGGTACTAATTACTGAAATAATTTTAAATAAACTGATTTTTCTCTTTCATTTTAAATATCGATATAAATGTAAGTGTATGTAAACTCTTCCCAGGATTACCCTGGATGGTCTGCTATTCCAATTCTAAAGGCAAAACTACGTAATATGGCAGAGAAATTTTTAAAATTATACAGACTCAGTTGTACACCTACTTCTAATATACTTTTTATATCTCAACATAGGCAAGTCAAGAAATTTGTGAGCAATTAATTTTGCAAGTATTTACATAAACTGTATTAGATGGTACAGTCTAGTATCAAAAGAAATCTAGTTTTAGATATTAAAAAAATCTACCCTGGGGCTTGGCGCTTGTAGCTCAGCAGCTAGGGCGCCAGTCATATACACTGGCATATGTTTCTTTCAATTTCTGGAAAGTACCATTCACTATTAATGTGGAATATATATATATACACAGAGATATATTTTAATTTTTCAAATGACATAATTTTGTTTTTTTAAGCTGTCACCCTGGGTAGCTGTGGTGCTGTGGCATCATAGCTCACAGCAACCTCCAACTCCTGGGCTCAAGCGTTTCTCCTGCCTCTGCTTCCCTAGTAGCTGGGATTACAGGCACCTGCCACAACACCTGGCTATTTTTTGGTTGCAGCCGTCGTTGTTTGGTGGGCTTGGGCTGGATTTGAACCCACCAGCTCAGGTGTATGTGGCTGGCGCTGTAGCTGCTTGAGCCACAGACACCAAGCCAAATGACTTAATTTTTAAAAAGCACCTAGAATTAGAAGAAAGTGCAACTTAAGACCATTAAATTTTAGAAAAGAACTTTATGATTAGCAACCAAATTTCTCACTGAGGAAAGTTTTACATAAAAGTGAAACTCTCTGGGCACAGTAGCTCATGCCTGTAATCTTAACACTCTAGGAGGCTGAGGAGAGTAGATTACTTGAGCTCTGGGGGACCAGTCTGAGAAGAGTGAGGCCCTGTCTCTACAAAAAATAGAATAACTAGCCAGACGTTGAGCAGGCAGCTATAATACCAGCTGTACAGGAGGCTGAGACAAGAGGATCACTTGAGTCTAAGAGTCCAAGGTTGTTGTAAGCTATGATGCAACAGCACTCTATTCAGAATGAAAGTGAGACTCTGTCTCACTCCCCACTTCCCCCCACCACCAAACCCTAAAACTGAGCTCTTGTAAAAGGCAAGAAACATGTGCTTAGGCCAGATGTGGTGGCTCACACCTGTAATCTTAGCACTCTGGGAGGCTGAGATAGGTGGATTGCTTGAGCTCAGGAGTTCAAGACTGTCTTTAAAAATAGCTGGGTGTGGCTCGACGCCTATAGCTCAACCGGCTAAGGCGCCAGCCACGTACACCTAAGGTGGCGGGTTCGAATCCCCAGCCCGGACCCGCCAAAACAACAATGACGGCTGCAACCAAAAAATAGCCGGGCGTTGTGGCGGGCGCCTGTGGTCCCAGCTACTTGGGAGGTGGAGGCAGGAGACTCGCTTGAGCCCAGGAGCTGGAGGTTGCTGTGAGCTGTAATGCCACGGCACTCTGCCCAGGGGGACAGCTTGAGGCTCTGTCTCAAAAAAAAAAAAAAAATAGCTGGGTGTTGTGGCTGACGCCTATAGTCCCAGCTATTCAGGAGACTGAGGCAAGAGGTTTGCTTAAGCCCAGGAGTTTGAGATTGCTGTGAGCTATGACACCATGGCACTCTACCAAGGGTGACAAAATTAGACTATCTTAAAAACAAAAAAAAGGTGTACTTGCTAAGGATACTTATTAAAATAATCTGCTTCAGAATTCAACCATTTCTGTCTTCTGAGCTTTAAAAGAAAGGAATGTAGAGAACAGGCAGATTGGACAGGGTAAGGAACACACAGCTTTATAATTCCTTTTCTTCCCTTAGACCGTAACGATTAAAAAAGACCAAAAAAGAATTACGGCATTTTAGTTCAGTTGTGACTTGAATTTTCTCTTTTCCCCTACCCCCACCATCTCTTCCTTTCTTCCCTCCAAGAGATAGCAGTTATTTGTGACTGTTTTGGGGGCAGTTATCTAGCTTCTGTCTCCTCCTTGAAGATCTGATCACTAGCTTTGGGCTTCATTGGCAGCTGCCGCCTCACCATCCACCGGAATGCCCATCTGGACCCTTGATGCACCTTACACAGATGCTAAAGTCCATTTGATCCAATATCATCAGGACTAGTTTGGCCTGACAAGACTGCATTTGACTGCCGAGACCAGTTCACCTGAGGTCTATAAGCTAGGGTTAAAAAATGGCTTATTTGTCCTTTTGATAACACTTATATTCAGTATTGTTAGTTTCTCTGTGGTTTACAATAGGCTTTCAAACTATTAGTAATAATAGTGAACATTTATTGGGTACTTCATGTGTGATCTGTGCCAAGTCCTTTACTATCTCTTAATTCTCACAACAGCCATTACAAACTAAGTATATTTTATAGGTGGAGATTAAGTACTTGTGTCTAGGATGACAAATACAGACCCAGGATTCTAAACTTGGCAGGAAAAGTTAAGAGCCTGTATTCTCTTAACTGCTACTGGAATTCTAAATAATGTTTCCTTCATCTTCTGGGAGTACACACAGCCTTACTTTTCCTTTTAAATTGATAAAGCGAAAAACTTAATCCCAACCTTGGAAACAGTGTTATACTTGCTCCAGTTTTCTCTAGTTTCTTTCTCAGTGAGGAAGGAAATACCAGAATAGGGTTGTTACATTAATAAAACACAAAAACAGGCCTGAAAATGATTTTAAAAAGAGACTTAAGGTATTTTTGTTCCTAAGACTCAGGAGATGCATCTCTTGAGTACTCAAGTTGGAGATTACTAGTATATTGAGTGACAGCATGAGATTTAAAGACTTGAGTCCATTTGACTTACTTGCTGGGTGACCTTGGCTTCACTAAGCTTATTTGTTCAGCTGTAAAATCAGGATAATACCTCACACTTAGGAGAGTGTGAAAAACAAGCTAGTTGATACCTATTACCTGGTTTATTTTCTGTCATATAGTAAATGGTTGCTATTTTTCTTTAAATGATAGTCATTAGTTTCAATGACAGTGACAGAGCCTTTCACACTTTTTCTTTATATTAAAAAATATGCTTTAAAAATTAACTTAAAATGGTACACATCTAAAATTTGACAAAATGGGCATCACAAAAGCCTTGAATTGTTTTACAAATAAGTGCAGTGTTTTTATTGACTCTTGCCTAGTCTTAATGGTATAGGAAAGCTGACCTCTAAACTGGGGTGTGCCCTGAAGGCTAAGTGGGTTCTTAATTTGAGGCATGAAAAAATTCAAGAGTGACCTGACAGAGTAAAGCAAAATCAAGTTTATTGAAGTTACAAACAGAAGGCAGAACAGCAATTATCTCTTAGAGTAAAATAGAATAGCCCTTTGTGAGTTTCTAGGGTCTTAATTTTATTTCTGTTTAGTTTTATGTTAAGCAGAGTATTCGTAAGATTTCTGGAAAGGGGCATGAAGTTCCTGGAACCAAGGGCACCTCCCCTCTTTAACCAGTACAGGGTAACTGGCAGGAATTGCCATCCTCAGTCTGCTGAGCTTCTAGGATTGGATAGATTTATTCCACCTCAAGCATTGCTATCCTGGGGAAGGTCTCACTTTGCAGTGGCAGGGCTTGATCCCATCAGAGCAGAGCAGACAGAATCAACATTTTCTGCAGATAGGCTGGTCACAAGCAGGAGTGAGGGAGTGGGGAGGAAGTAGTTGGGCTATTTGGGCCTTACTTACCTTCCAGATTTACAATGACTAAGTCACTCTACTTCTCTTAGAGCAGAGTAGATGAAGGGATGGAGAGTGATAATGACAATGTTATGCTACCAGAGCTTCCTTCACGTGGAGGAAAGCAGCAGTCCCTCTTAGTAGCATATTTTAAATTGTTACCAAACCAATGATATTAGTTTAATGTCTCTCTTCTCCATTAAAATTGTCACTTCCATGAGAGTGACACTATGCTCACTTTGTACACACGAGGACTGGCATGCTGTTTGTCACACAGCAGGCAGTCATACTGGGTGAGTGAACAAATGCACTGTAGTTTGTTACAGTGTGTTTTAGCATATATGGTGCCTTATTTATTAACCCAACAAATCTATAGTATGCTAAAAAAACTCTCTTAGGCAAGAGGATTTGGAGGTAAAAACAAAACAATGCAGCAAAACAATGTTAAAATAAGAGTTTTTGTTTTGAAAACAACTCAGCTAAAAAAAGAAAGAAAGAAAGAAAACAATGCAACAGATCCTTGAAGAAAATTTAGTTAGAAAGCCTCTGAGTCTTACTGGAACATAGAGACCTGTATCTTGACTACTTTATACTATAGACTTACTGTTTATAGCTAAACAAATGACAAGGTAATTTACCAATTATCAAACTTACAAAGCTATTGCCAGGGCATTTGGAAATCTTTTGAAATATTTACCACTTTCTGGCTTTGTTTTCTCAATCTGGATAAACTAAAGAACTGAGATGAAAATGATATTTTGTAACTACATAAGATCTACTAATAGATAAGTAAGAAAAAACAGTAGACCTAATACGAAAACATAACAAAAATCTGAATTTCTCTATGGGTTTCCTGAAAGTAGGTACTATGTATGAATGTCTGCTGTGTTTAAATGAATAATTAAGAAAAGCTTTGTTGTATGTAATACATTTAAGATGGGTTAACTTCAACTGGTGTTCAGTTAAGAAGCAGGGATAAATTGGGTTTTGTGTATCAAAAATTTTAAGAAAATGCCATGAAGGCTATGTTAACTAGTTTGATGAAAATATTTCAAATTGTATTATACAACCAGCACATTGTACCCCATGATTACATTAATGTGCACAGCTATGATGTAATAAAAATAAAAAAAAAGATGTTTGCTAAAAAAAAAGAAATTAAAAAGGGTATAATAACTAGAGCTTAATATTTAGGAAAATTATAGATTTCACACTAAATTTTATATACTTATACTAGAGTACACATTATTTTTAAAATTTATTGTTGTTCATTACAAAAACAAATCAATCTCCAGTTGTGTGGTTAGTCACTTAAAATCCAAAAACTTTGTTATAATAATCTTTTATTTTATATAAAAATGTAATGATGCAGGAGTTATCAGGAAAGTTCAATAATTAGTATTTAGGCTAGGGAGTAGGTTTTCAAAATTTTCAGCAGATTCCAACAAAATCTTAACAATTTATACAGTTGTTCAAACAAGCACAAGAAAACTGGTTCAGTTTCTATGAACCATCAAAAAGATAAGGACAAAATGCCCTTCAAAGAAATCAGGTTTTGTGTGGTAGCTTTTCAATAATAATAAAATAAAGACACACATACAAATAAAGACAAAATATCTCTTTGCATTCTTAAACGCTTCTCTTTAGTCCATAATACTTTGAATAATCTTGTAAGTTTCTGCTGCAACTGACAATGTTCAAAATAAATCTATGCTGGTTTAGTGTTCTATGAAGTCAACAGCAGCAGCAGTAGGAGCATTAACACTACTTCCAGATTCTGTAAACTCCCAATGCTATTGCCAGGCAAGCAAATACTGAGGCTGTGAAAAGAAGCAGCTACGTTAAAGGTCACATATTTGTGATCATTTTGCAGAGATAAAGAGAATAATGTTATCTTCATTAAATAAAAATCAAAGAGCGAAGAAATCCAACTGATTTTCAACCCTGTTTTTTATTACCTAGAAAATGAAACTAAGGATAAAGATACTCTTAAGGGCAAGATTAATGCCAATTCTTAAAAACTACTGTATTTTAAAACAGAATAAGGATGATAATACTTTAAAAAAATGTACAAGTCAGTTACAATCTATAACTATTTAATAACATTAGCATTATTATTATTATTATTATTTTTGAGACAGTCTCAAGCTGTGTTGCCTTGGGTAGAGTGGCATCACAGCTCACAGCAACCTCAAACTTTTGGGCTTAAGTGATTCTCTTGCCTCAGCCTCCCAAGTAGCTGGGACTACAGGCACCTACAATGCCCAGCTGTTTTTTGATTGTAGTTGTCATTGTTGTTTGGCAGGCCTAGGCCAGGTTTGAACTCGCCAGCTCCAGTGTATGTGGCTGGAGCCCTAGCCATTGAGCTACAGGTGCCGAGCCAGGACTTGCGCTTTTAAAGGTGCTTCTGACTATAGTTGTTCGAATCCTTTGCTCTTTTCTATGCTTTTTCATAAAAACTCTTAAACTTCTCCCCCCTTCACTGCAACCTACGCGTTAGGTAGTGTGCTAGTGTCTGGGCAATTATATATACTACCTTATTCAACCATAATTAAAACCCTAAGAGATTAGTGGTATTATTCCTATTTTACAGATTAGGCAGCAAGCTAGCTAGTGGTAGAGCCAGGATTTAAGATAAATACACTTGACTCCACAGGTACACCTCTGAAGGCTGTTTTATTTTTAAACATTTTGTTACCATTATTTATAGCCTGACACCTGACTGAAGGACTTATCTTTTTTTGAGCCACAGGGTGCTCAGGGGATATTCCATGTAGTTACTGGTATATCCTCTGGTACCTCAAGAGCTGATAAGTTTTAGATAACCAAATGAACAATTACTTATTGTGAGGAGGGAATTAATTTCCTTCCTTTATTAGAATGTACAGCATAACTGTAACTGCATTTAAGTTTCTTGTTTCTTATTATTTCAGCTTTTATTTCTCATTGTTATGTTAACTATGGAGTCATCCTAAATTGCTTTTATCTTCTGTCCAGGAGGCATTCTACATATAGTAAAATAATTGATAAGTATGTGTACTTTAAGCACTCTGGTAAACGTCAGCTTTTATTATTTATCTGCCCAGAACAGAATCTGCCACATTAACTATATAGATTACATAAACTACATTAACTCAGTTCTTGCCTCCTTGCCAAAATTGTTCTGGGCTAAAAGGTAGCGTCTGACCCAAGATGGACATTCTAGACTCCTTTTATGGGATTTTTTAAATTGGAACAAAAGAAAGGGGATAATCTCCTTCTCTTAGTGAAACTATGGCAATGTTTCTATCCCATGGAGGAAGCTGATAAGAGAAAATGAGGCAGACATTCAGAGACAACACCAAGTCTGATTCCAGTTATCCTCATGGTTAAGCTATACCTCTGCTCTTTCCATAGTTCAACAGTAAGCCAATAGTCACCTTTTATGCCTAAGCTAGTTCAAGTTGATATGTGATACTTAATATGAAAAGAGTACTGACTGATACATGTGGGGAAATCAAATAAACTGGTTAACATTTATGATTTGATAAGGATTTCTTCTCTAAGGGAAATGTAAGATTTTATTTTTTTTTTTTGAGAAAGAGCCTCAACCTATTGCCCTGGGTAGAGTGCCATAGCGTCACAGCTCACAGTAACCTCAAACTCTTGGGCTCAAGCAAACAATTCTCTTGCCTCAGTCTCCTGAGTAGCTGGGACTACAGGTGCCCACCACAATGCTCAGCTGTTTTTTGGTTGTAGTTGTCACTGTTTGGCAGGCTGGGGCCGGATTCGAACCTGCCAGCTTTGGTGTATGTGGTTCTTGTTTTAGAGGCTTGAGCTACAGGTGCCACCCGAAATGTAAGATCTTTAATGCTGGGGCTTTGACAGCTGAGTAAGGGTTTTCTTTCCCACATTTCCCTCGTGTTCATGAATAAATATGTGAATCTCAGATAAATGGGGTTATTACTGTCTTACTGGCAATTTCTCAAGTGTTCTAGAATCCAATAGATCCACTCATGACATTAACTTCCCACCTATTTAGAGTGTGGGATTCAGGCTTCCTGAAAGGCTTACCAGTAAAGCAGCAGTAACACTATTTTGAGACGGATAAGAAGAAATACATCAGTACTTTTGGTTGCAAGTTCTCAGGAAAAAGAAAAGGATCACGACTTAGGAAAGGTCTTTTCCTAGACAATCACTAACTTGATTTCTTTTGCCAATGCTACCAAATCTTTTAGATTCTGCCTTGCATATTTCCAATACTGAACGAAAGCTTTCTGGAGATTATCTCCATCTTTAAAAAGGATTTTGTTTATAACTAAGATATTGATTCTTTAGGTAAATACTCTAAAGAAAGCTGAGTGGAATTTGAAGCCTTTCCTGTGTTGCTCTGGGATTGATTTTGAAACTGAGAATGAACACCTCAAACTAGGCTGTTTCAGAATTTCCTGAGCACTATAAATGAACTGAAGGGCTCCCGTTCCAGAGACTTTGCCAGAGTAAGGGTTTTCAAAAGTTGGTTTAGCCTTAGAATCCTTTCTTCAAATCAATCTTAAACAGAAGCCCAAGGTTTTTAAGAGATAAAAATTGAGCCATTCAGGTTGCAGAAAGAAAAGGGATATGTATTTATCAGTAGAGGGAAGGGGCTCCATCTTCACCCCTATATCAGTGGTGATTGCCAAGATAACCACTGATTAATTAGCAACTTTATTGTGGACATCAATTTGTTAAAATAAAAAATTTTAAAATGTGCATTATCTTTTTGATCCCTAATTTTAAACGTGCATAGCCAATTTGTTATATAGAAATACTAGCACAAGGGCACAAAAATGTGTGTGTGCAAAAAACTGTTCAGTCAGTATCTTAATAATGAAAAATAAGAAGTGGAATGCCTGTTAACAGAAGGCTGGATAAATAAGTTGTGGCATTTTTATAAAAGGAAATACTATGCCCTCTAACAAAAAGATATTTATGTGTATATACTCATGTGGAAAGATCTTTAGTTAAATTTTTAAAAGTTGTGGAGCAGACTGTAATATATAATCTAATTATTTTTATAAAGTATATATAGTATTTATATGCAGAAGAAAAACTTAGAAATATTTACTACTAATAGTAAATCCTCATGGGGGGCAGATTTGAAGGCTTTCACTTTTATTGCTTTTTAATGATATAATTTGTAATGAAAATATTACTTTTTATAAAAAGAAAGAAAAAAGACAAATACTTGACTAGGGCATTCTTCCTAAGTGGGGCCCTGTAGTTGGGTCAGGTCAGATGGTACTTGAAGAGCCCAGTATTTGGTAATCTAATATTTGGGTAGAATCTGTGCTGAGTCAGTTGATTGATACACTCCCCCACCAAGCTTTCTGTGGTTTTAATGGCCTGTATATACTGAACTGACCTTTTTCTCTAACCCCACTAAAATCCTTATGAAAGGATATGAGGAATAAAAAGCAAATTTTCATTCTTTTCACTGTAGAATACCTAGTTTTTACCTTATGTATGTCATTTTGTACTTGTTTATATGTTTCTTTGGTATCTATATGCTTTTTACCTATTAATAAGTTACAGAGTTGCCTATTAAATTTATACCTGAGATTTGGAACCTTCTTAAACCACTACAGGGGAACAAGCAATAAAGCAGCTTTATTATAGCTCTTTCTGGTTTTTCTCTGTGCCTACATGGTTACCTTGGGAGATAGGAATTAACAGGTCAGTTTGTTTATAAAAGGAAAAAAGTAAAAGGAACTAAAAAGTCTGGAAATTAAATGACAGCAATTCCTTTTTCTGGCAAAGTCTTACCTGCAAGGTAACGAATTGTCTCAAGTTTGTTAGACTCCATCAGTGTTTTTAAGAAAGCAATTTCAGTGTCAATTTTATTACTGGTCTCTGAAATAACACTTTTGGTTTGAGTATCCTGTAGTAAATAAGAATAAATAAGAGAACTAAATGTTTTCCTCATATATTAAATGAACAAAAACATTTACATTAGAAACCCTCACTTATGGGCTAATCGTGCATTAGAAAAGTCTCAGTTGGGGAAACAGTAAAAGCATAGTGGTATTAAAAAAACATTAAATGAACACTTTAAACTGCAAATCACCTTTCTTCTGCTTTTACATTTGAAGATCATTTCTTAGTATTATCCCATATTGGGCATATTCTAATCCTAACCTCCTAATAAAATAGTTGGAATCTAAATATACAAGATGATAAACTGAGAAACAAAAATTTTAGTCACAGAACTATCACTTTATATGTGTAAAGTCCTTAGCATATTATAGTTAAAACTTTAAATATATTCTGTAAATAAAAAAAGAAATCAATAAGGCTTGTACTGCGAACTGGCACTTAGGTGTATAGAGGCCAAGGAAAGGTTAAGAGGGGAGATAAGAAGGGACTTAGAGCTCAGAAATTAGTTGTGAGAGTTGGTTGATTTCTTTATTTCCTTTTTGTGGTCAAGAAGAGATTAGTAACCTTTAAAGGACAAATGTGACTGACAGTTCCTTCTATTAAATTATGAGCATGAGTGTTGGCTTTGAACGTTTTTTTTTTTCTTGAGACAGAGCCTCAAGCTGTCGCCCTGGGTAGAGTGCTGTGGCGTCACAGCTCACAGCAACCTCCAACTCCTGGGCTCAAGCAAGTCTCCTGCCTCCACCTCCCAAGTAGCTGGGATTACAGGTGCCTGCTACAACACCTCGCTATTTTTTGGTTGCAGCTGCCATTGTTGTTTGGCAGGCCCAGGCTGGATTTGAACCTGCCAGCTCAGGTGTATGTGGCTGGCGCCCCGGCCATTTGAGCCATAGGCGCCAAGCCAGCTTTGAACTTTTAAGAAAAGGACTAGGCTGAGTCAAAAATAGTTTTAATCAAACCATAGAGACTGAGTAATGATTACACTTCAGGATTTATTGAGAGGGTAAGCAGTAGTTCTCATATGGGGTTTAGAATCTGGGTTCTTTCCCAAGCTCTACCACTTATGAACTGGTGACTTTAACCTCTTTTTATTTTCCAAATTGGTAAAACAGGATGAATAGCCTGCCTCACAGAGGGTGATATGGAGATTAAATGAGTTAAAAGATACAAGTACAGCATACAAAACAGCATCTGGCACATAAACAAAAAACATTAAGATTAAAAAAAAATTTTTTTAAGATACTTACCTGAGCCTAGGCACTTACTTAAATACTAATTAGGAAATACCAGGAGTGAATTGTTGCTTTTAAAAGGTAGTTATTTTCTATATAAAAATAGTTTTAAAAAAGTACACTATGTGGAAATTTTGATTATTACTCTGAGGTCATGGCTCGTGTATGACCATCTACCTGGTGACTGCCTCCACAAAATGCTGGCTAACTGCAAGAGCTATCAGGAAACCATATATTCTATAGATTTAGCTTTTTAAAAGTCCAAACTTACGAACTGATACATATAAAAACGGTTATACAAGGCACAAGAAGTATACAAAAGAGAAATTTTTACATTCTACTTTACCTTTTTTGTAAATTCTGTGGTTGCTTCCATAAGTTGTTTTTCTTGATCTGTAAACTACAGGATATGAAGCAGCAAAAAGTTTAAAAAGAAGAAAAAAAGAACACTAAAAAGGAATAAGTAGCCAAGAAAGTATATTTAAAAGCATATTACCATATCTGTTACTCTGCTCCTTTCTAGGTTGATGTCCAGTTTATTATCTGCTCTGATTCTACTGGTTTCATGCTTTAAAGAAAATGAAGATATTTTTTAAAAATGATCTTGTAATGAATATTCTGAAATTAATAAGTAGGAAAAAATTTCACTTACTATTAGTTGTTGTTTAACTTGGTCTAATTCAATTTTCATTTTCTAGGTATAAGAAAGATCACATGTAATTAGCACTAAATGAAAGTCCATATCATGATTTATTTTAAAAATCTGAAACCCTGCATTAGCAAAATTCGGACACTCAATGGACTTATAATACAAAATTCGATAAAGAAAAAAACTGAAAAAAAATGATTTTCTCAGTTTAAAAAAATTTAATAACTTAAAATTCTGATTTAACTACAGAAACATTTTTCTATTAAGTGATAATGACAATTAGTACAGGATCAACTCAAATGAAAAATGCCACATTACTTTCAGTTCTGAGAACATTATACTATGTGCTATACTAAAAATTTTATATAATCAATATAGAACTCAAAGATTTTCCCTTTGATATGATGTTTATATGTATAAAATATAACTCATATTTTCCAGTGTGTAAGAATTTTGATGTATATATAAAAAGATTAGGTATGGTTAAAAACTAAAAACTTGTTAATTGGCAGGGCAGAGTGGATCACACCTGTCACTTTGGGAGGAGAAGGCAGATGGATTACTGTCTGAGCTCAGGAGTTTGAGACCAACCTGAATAAGATCGAGACCCCATCTCTACTAAAAACAGAGAAACTAGCCGGGCATTGTGGCATGCAGGCCTGTAGTCCCAGCTACTTAGGACTGAACCCAAGAGTTTGGGATTTCTGTGAGCTATGATGATACCATAGCACTCTATCCAGGGTGACAAAGTGAGACTTGCCTCAATAAATAAATAAAATAAAAATAAAAACCTCTTAATTGTTTAATAACCACATAAAATTGTTAGTTGGTTTTATTAACTTATTTATCAAGTAAAATACTTACGAGATCAGTTCTTTAGTTCTAAGTATTTTTTCTCTTTCTTTCACACCTTACTGTAGAGATGTTATTTATTTATTTATTTAGAGACAGAATCTTACTATGTTGCCTTCGGTAGAGTGCTGTGGCGTCACAGCTCACAGTAACCTCTAACTCTTGGGCTTAAGCGATTCTCTTGCCTCAGCCTCCCAAGTAGCTGGGACTACAGGTGCCTGCCACAAAGCCCTGCTATTTTTTGTTGTTGTTGTTGCAGTTGTCATTGTTGTTTAGCAGGCCCAGGTTAGGTTCAAACCCGCTTGCCTTGGTGTATGTGGCCAGCACCCTAACCACTGAGAAACAGGCTCCAAGCCTAGAGATGTTATTTTATCAGTAATAAATTAAAATCTGTATTACCTCATTCTCTGCTCTAAGATTTGCAAATTCACTTTTCTCTAGGATGACCATGTCTTTCCTGATGGAGTCCAAATGAGCCATGAGTTGTTGTACTGTTATTTCCTAGAAAACAAAAAGAATTCCTAATGAAATGCTTACTTTTGGCCCCTAAGAGTTCCTCAACAAATAATGTCTTGTTTTTATTTTTATTTTTTTGATAGATCTTTTTTAGCACCTTTTATTGCTTTGAATTTGAGAGATTTTCTACTATTGGAAATTTCCATGGTGACACAAAATAAATGCCTACATGGATAAAATAATTGTCCTTTGTCAGTGTAATTAGTTTTATTCAAATTGTTGGCTATGTTCTCTGTATCTGGTGCTACAAAGAATTTGTGGAGAAAAAAGGTGGGCTCTTGATAGATTTATAAACTTTGCTCAGAGAGGGACATTTTTGTAGAAATGCTTTAAGAAAATATAACTGTTATAGATTGAATATCCCTAATCCAAAAATCTGAAATGTTCAACAATCTGAGCTTTCTGAGTACCGAGATGACACACAAAGGAAATGTTCCCTGGAGCATTTCAGATTCTGGATTTGGATCCTCAGCTGCTAAATCCAAAATACTTCTGGTCCCAAGGAGTTTGAATAAGGGATACTCAACCTGTACTACTACGCTTCTTAAAATTTAGGTAGCTTGCTAACTCATCGTTTTTCCTTCTTTATCAAAAGAAAGAACAGATGAGGGTAAAACTTTGGTAAGGATAAAACAAAAAAGCCCAAATAAGAACTGGATTACTACCTGGAACTCCCATTTTTAAAGTTATAATTTTGTGGCCTGGGTTAACTTGGGTTATTAAGACTGTTTAAAAACTAACATGACTTTTAGAAAGGGGAGGCTGTAACAATTGTAGCCCGAAAGGACTCAATATTCAAAGGGTCTGGTATACAAACATCTCCCGCAACAACTTTCAGATGGCTGGAGTCAAGCTATCTGGGTTTGAATTCAAATTTTGCCATTTATCATAAGACTACATAAGGTTATTTAATGTCTTTGGTCTCTTCATTGATAAAATGGAAATAATAATAGTACCTATATTATATCTTTATAGCTATTTTGAGGATTGAATGAGATAATGTAGGTAGAATACTTAAAATAGTACTAGGGTACACAGCACTCACTGTTAGCTACTGATGGCTAAAGCAGGGTAATGTTTTGATATGGAGGAAGTTTTGACTTAAAATATCAATCTTACTCTAACATAAAAAAGTTTTTAGCTGTGTACAATGGATATGCCTGATTCTTTTGCCTTCCTTCACCCTCATAATAATATTGGGTAGGGAGTTTATTTTTATATCCAATTCTGCTTGAAATACAGTAGAACCTCTGTTAAGTTAACCACACAGAGGACTATAACAAATTGGTTAATATTCGGAGGTGGTCAACATAAGGCACTAGGCCTATTGTACCAATAATACATGTGGTGCATCTCTGGTCTGTTAAAATTAGGTCAACCTGAGGTCAATGTAGGGAGGTGGTCAACTGTGGAGGTTTTACTTTGTGAGAATTAGTTCTGTAGTCATATAGATGTGGCATATAGGGGTTATCAGTTCTATTCCCCCCGAAATATAATTATACAGGAGTTTTATGATATTAAATATAATGTATTTTTATTACTAGGACTACATAGAGAAGAGTGGAAATGTATAATTTCAGATTTCTTGTGGAGTATGAACCTTGGAATAAGAGATTGCACTGTGGCCCTAATAGCTGCTGCTTTTTTTTTTTTTAAAAAAAACCTCATTCTTCCTTTAAATCAGTGGTTCTCCACCTTCCTAATGCTGCAGCCCTTTAATACAGTTCCTGTGGGTCTCAACCCACAGGTTGAGAACTGCTGCTTTAAATACAGATTCAAAAGGTTTATGAAACTGCACAGGTATCTATCCTCAAAAATTTAAATGGAGAGGTAATTGTGTTAATGAGTCAATGCAATTAAGTGTGCTTATTATAACTACTGTGGAACTACCAGAAAATTTGGATTATAAATGAATTCATAATATATGTGAATTCTTGGATTGAGGAAGCTTGACTTAGTATAGACCTTTCTGAAGTGGTCTAGATAAAAGCATGGAGCTTGTATGCCTGATGGCACTGAGCCTTCGCTCCATCATTCTGACATCTTTGAGCCTTACTCTATCCTAGGTCAGTAATAGGTATAAGCTCGAGGGTGGAAAAGGACTGTTCCACACAACAGTAATAAAGAAGTCAAAAGTTTAACAGTAATATTCCTATGCCCAATCCCATAGTTTGCATATAGGATTAAGTGGTCCTAGCATCATGAAGATTCCTCAAATCGTGTTTTAATTCACTGCTTATATTATAGGTAAACATATACAAATTTAAATTACTTTGTTAAAAATGTCAGTAGCTCTTTTAGGATAGCTCAGAGCCTTGGGGGAATTAATTAAATGCTTGGCTTTTTCTTTAGTGGATTGAGTAGTCTGCTATAATCCCAAATAAACTAGCTAAAATGGTGCATTAAAGGTAAGTTAAAAGTAGGGATTGAATGTTTGAATTCTAAGTGTCTATTTGGACATTATAGTAAGAATTTTTAAAAGCTTTTCATTATCCATGAATGTTAATGTAATAAAATTTTATGTGAGAGATTATAATTTTATGTAAGAATCCTAGTTTTTCTCTCTGTGCTGCTAAAATATTTATCTGAGGAAGACTAGATTTCAACAATTAAAATTTAAAAAAATATAACCAGAAAAAAACAGATTCTTGAACACAGTGAATTATTCATAGCTGACAAAAATGAAGAATTATTCCAGTTAAATTTATTTAGCTTATTTTATTCTTTATATAAAATTACTGCTTTTTGTCCATATCACTATGATGAAAACTTGCCAGTGACTCGTCTCTCAGCTTGTCTTCCATGGCAAAATAGAATTCTGCCTACTTTTCAAAGTTATTAGAGATTAAATAGTATATGCAAAGTACTCAGCAATGTGCTTCCTATATCTTAAGTTTCTAGTAAATCGCATGATCTGACTTTAAGGATTTTTATTCCCGTCAAATTAAATCATCTTAGCCAAGCAATTTATGAAGTTGTTCCCTGGCATGTAAGTCTCTTCCAGCTTTCTGAGTCTGTGAAAATTAGCCAAAACATACATATGCCAGCAGTAAAATACACTTATTATTTGTATAGACAGGTTAGCTCTTCTACTGTGGTGGGCTTTCTAGGGGGAAAAGTTGTTTCACTAATAAAAGATTTGGCAAAATTCTGTTCTGAATTACTATAATTTTGTTACACTTATTCTAACTCTTTAGCCTGTCTAGATACTGACTTTACCAATAGCTTTTCTTTCCTTTTTTTTTTGTAGTCCCTTTAGAGAGAACAAGGAAGACACAGGTGTATCAGGAAGGCCAGTGGGTATACAGGGATGTAGTTATGGAAAAGATTATCTAATGAAACTGTCAGAAGTGATGAAAACATTACCTGTTGAGCTTGAGTGACCATCTCCTTATAGATAGTATCCAGGGTGACATTTGATAAAGTGGTTAATGCTGATACAATTGTTTCTGCTTGTGTTTTGTCAAATCCTGTAGGAGCAAATAGGTATTTGTATTTTCAGAAAAGTGCACACTCTTACCAGAATAGAACTTTCCACAGAACTCAGATCTTTATATTCTTTTTAAAAAATTATTTGACAGATTAAAGCACTCTACAGTTTTAATTCCCACTCTCTTTCCTCACATGTATTGTTAACACTGGATCTTACCAGTCTGTTTTTATTTTAAATTTTCTTAAAAGACAAGGTCTTGCTCTGTTGCCTCGGCTACAGTGCAGTGGTCCAATCATAATTCACTGCAGTCTCCACCTTCTGGGTTCAAGTGATCCTCCATCCTCAGCCTCCCAAGTAGCTGGGACTACAGGCATGTGCTACCAAACCTGGCTAATTTTTTTAAATTTAAAAATAATTTCTTATAGAGACAGGGTCTTATTTTGTTGCCCTCAGTAGAGTGCTGTCATGTCACAGCTCACAGCAACCTCCAGCTCTTGGGCTTAGCCGATTTTCTTGCCTCAGGCTCCCGAATGGCTGGGACTACAGGTGCCTGCTCCACTGGCTATTTTTTTTGTTGCAGTTTGGCCAAGGCTGACGCCCTACCCACTGAGCCACAGGTGCCGCCCAGAGACAGGGTCTTGCTATGTTGCCCAGGCTGGTCTTGAACTCCTGGCCTCAAGCATTCCTCCAGTCATGGCCTCTGAAAGTGCTAGGGTAACAGGTCTGAGTCATTGTGTCCCACCAACTGGGGCAGTGTATAATTGGCATTAAAAAATGGTATTATACTGCTATTTAAAACTGTACTTAAATTTATATTTCTTTGGTAGTGAGGTTAAGCACCTTTAAAAATTTTTTTTGTTATTTATATTTAGCTTTCTGTGTGTTGCTTGTTTAAAGCTTTTGAACATTTTTTTCTATAAAATTATTGTCCTTTTACATTTAGCTTTTCATCTATGTGAAATTTAGTTTTCAGCAAAGATTTAATATTTCTTTTCCCAATGGCTGGTTATTTTATCTCATTAAGTAATCCTTCCTTTCTCTAATTTGTATTACCTTTAATACATGCTAAATTCATTTTATGTATGTCTCCAAATACCATTTTATTAATAAATTTCTCTATTCTTATACCAACACATGATTTAAGTCACTGTTTTGATATCAGGTGATTTTTTGTATTTTTTTCTATTATTATTGCATATTTGTACTTCCACATAGACTTTAGAAACAGCCTAGGATCATTTCTGTGCTTAAAATTTTATATAATTCTATTTTCAATGAACGTATCTTGAGCATTTCTCCTATCAGTAAGTATTTTTCAGGCAACACTATTTTTGATGATGGTAAAATATTTCATTATCATAGTGATGCTGTCTTGACCAAGCGGTCTTATTATGTAAGTGCTAGCACTTCTTTCCAGAGGTGTTCATGTCTCTTACCATGAGTTTCCAAGTCTTGCACCAATGCATGGGTATCAAAAGTTAATTTCCTTTGCTCTAAAGGAGTTATGTCCACTCGCCTCCTATCATATCCTTCCTTGTTTATGGTGGTGAAGAAATCTGAAAAGAGAAGACAAGGCTTTCTTTTTCCTTATAGTAACTGGCAGAGGTATCACACTTTAGCTTCTGTAACATTTTCCCCATCTATTTATAATGGTTTCAGCTCTTCTCATTAGTTTTTATAATCACACAAAGGTAGCTGACTCTTTTGAGCTTCTCTTCTTCCTTTATCTGGCACATGGCAAACTTTCAATGACTATTTCCTTACCTTCTTTCAATATTCAGAAATGTTTTATTCAGTCTAAAATTATAGCAAAATGTTCATCAAATGCTTTGGATATCATCGCCCAAGAGCAGAAACTGCCCAACTTTCCTCAGTTCTTTGTGGAAGTCTTTCAGAGAGTTACTACAAAAACTGTGTACTTATATTCCTATCTAAAGTAGGTTCCTACACTTCCACTCACTCACATATCCACAGTTTATTTCCTACATAGTTTTCAGCTTTAATCTGGAATTGTATTATTTGCTATTTCTCTCTCTGAACCAAAATATAAACTCTGGGATACCTTGACTGTGTTTTTCATACTGTATCTTCAGTACCTAGAATAGTACTTTGGCACATAGTTGAATCGCAGTATTTTACAGTGCAATGATTTTTTTTTTCTTTTTACAGTTTTTGGCCAGGGCTGGGTTGGAACCCGCCACCTCGGCATATGGGGCCAGTACCCTACTCCTTTGAGTCACAGGCGCTGTCCAAGTCCATTTGATTTTAAAACCTGGATTATTTACTGGTGTCAACATAAGAGCCCTAGGAAAAATTTCTCATTTTTGAAACAACTTTTTAGTCCTAATTTCAGTAAATTCCCATTTTTTACTCCAGAGACACTACAGTACTTTTCTATATACTGCTGATGAATTTTATTATGAAGTATTTGCTTTAGGGGAGAATATTGCCCGTATATAATTTCTTTTGTTTTCTGACTCTGTGGCCTCACTTACTTGCCCTGGGCAGAATGACGTGGTATCATAGCTCACAGCAACCTCTAACTCTGTGGCTCCTGAGTAGCTGGGACTACAGGCACCCACCATGCCTGGCTTCTTTTCTCTTTTTAGTAGAGCTCAGGCTAGACTCACACTCATGAGCTCAAGCAATCTGTCTGCCTCAGCCTCCCAGAGTGTTAGGATTCCAGGTGTGAACCACTGCACCAGGCCTGCCTGCTCATATCCTTCAGAGCTCAGTCTGAATGTCTCTTCTGTAAAACCTTCCCAGACTCCTGTAGGTCAGGTCTCTCTCTCTCGGTATTGTCTTGCATAGTTCCACACAACTGTGGTCCCTGGCCACATAGCAGAGGTGAGAGTAGGTGGGGGAGGTTAAGTTTCATCTGTGTTTACAGCTGCTCCCTAGTGTGTGCATCACTGCCTGGACTTCCATCTCTTGTCAGATAAGCAGCAGCATTAGGCTCTCATAGGAGTGTGAACCTCATGAAATGCGCACACAGGGTTCTAAGTCGCATGCTTTTTAGGAGAATCTAATGCCTGATGATCTGAGGTAGAGATGCAATCTACTCAAATCATTCTAAAACCATCCTCACCGCTCCCTCCCAATCTGAAAAAAACGTCCAAAAAGGTTGACACTGCTGCCATGTAAAATTCTTTTGCAAAACCTCTCACAATTTACATATTTATGTAACTGTTGTTTAACTTCCTTACTAGAGCAGGGATCAGCCAACAGGGGTAGCCCAAAGGCTACCTGTTTTTCTAGTGTTATTAAATAAGACTAATTTTATTGCAACACTGCTCATCCATTTATGGCTACTTTCATGCTATAATGGCAAAGTGAGTAGCTGTGATAAACTGTGTGGTCCACAAAGCTTATAGATAATACTGTCTGGATGTTTACAGAAAAAAAGTGCCAACCCTTGCACTGGACTATAAAGTCCTTGAGAACAGAGACATCTTTTCTTACTCTCCACTGGGTCCCAAATTGCTTAATATAATTCTGGATGTTCCATAGATATCTGCTGAGTGAAAGGCACTGTGTTCATTATTATGTATACAATGATGAATAAGGCTGTGGTTTTTAATGATGTGATATGAGATATATCCATAAAGGAATACAGAGGAGGGCCACCTGTCCTTGATCTTGAGTATAAAAGATCAAGAATGCCTATTTGGAAATGATGCTAGAGCTATGCTAAGTTATCCCTAAGGAGATAACTTCCCTTTAAGATTTAGTACTATTTAGTATGTGTGCTAAGGAGAGCTGAAGAGAATACAGAAAGATATGTGGAACATTTATTCCTTATATGTGCCCAAATATTTATGTAACGTTTTGCTTAGTCCCCCACCCCACCCCCAATCCTATGAGGTAGGTGCTGATACTATCCTTGGCAGTAGGACTTACTTTGCACTTCTCTTAGGAGGCAATAAAGAACTGGAAAAGCCACTGGATATTTATAATAGAATGTCATGATCGCCATTCTGTTGGGAGCAGTTTGCCTCACAAACACTTAAACATATTGCAAGCTTAAATCTTTGTAGGCATATTAATAGGTAGAGATGAAGTGATCAGAATCAGTGTTTTCTGCTCAAGGAATAATAGGTCCTTAATAATTTACAAGTTCCTAGAACTTAGATATCTATACAAACCCCCAAATCTTTCCTTTCATTGTTACTTGTTTCTTTCATACCTATATTTTCTGGCAGTGAAAAACAAATGCAGAATTTAAAGGCTTCACAAACCTACTAAATAGTACACTGTGAATTAGAACTCTAACCTACCTGGTACCAAGCTCCTTTTTACTGAAAAAGTCCAGATCTTACTTTTGAAAAACATGGAAAATGGTGTCTCATTAAATCTAAGCTACAAGCTTTATATTAATTTACTGCTAACTTTAGAGCTGAAATACTTTAGTAACATGGTTGGTTATTTTTCTATCATGAAAGAATGGGCATTATAGCATATATTCTTTTTTTTTTT